AGAACAGGAACAACGAGACAACAAAACTACCAACAAAGACAAGACAGAACAAAACAAACTAACATACATGTATATGAAGATAATTTGTACATAGTGGAAAGAGAGGTTGTGACAAATAATCGTCACAACCTCCAGCCGACGAACAAAGGTTTTTAGTTAGAAAACGAAGCGGAAAAGGTTTTTAGGTGAAAGCAGGGTACGAGTCGAGTACGGATACGAACTTCTCGGGTCGGGTGGGATATGGGCAAAAAACGTTTTCGCGTCGGGAACGGGCAGGAAAACGGGATCAGTGCAAAAGCACTGAAAGTGCACATCTCTTATGAAGATAGATATATTGCGGAACATATGAGTGGGATAACTTAGGCACAAGGCTATTCAATCAACCGATTTTTGTCACCTTTTACGTTTATTGTTGAGCTTTCCGCGCTTAACGTTTGCTACACTGTTAAAAATCTGTGTTCTTCTGTTCTTTGGAGAACATGGTGAAGAACATGAATGTGTTCTTTGAAAACTGAAGAACAGAATATATGTTCTTCAGCCTATTTTCACGTTTTTCTTCTTTAGCAGAGTTTTTGTTCTTCAAAAAATTAGTTCTTCATTTTTATAAAGAACAAAAAACGAATTCTTGTTCTTCAGACAACGTAGTTTTTGTTCTTCAGCTTTCTGAGAAACAAAAATAAACATAAATCATATTTTTGTTCTTCAAAGAACAAGAATCGATCGACAGTCCATTAAAATATGCGTTTATGAAAATGCGTGTATTGGCGCAAATTGAGAGACGATGAATGTGATCAAATGGTAATAATGATTGCCTTCTACAAACATAAAGCAATAAACAAATAAACACTTTTTTTGCGAGTTGCATGATCGTCGTTAGTTTTGTTGAAATCTTTTCTGTCAAATCATTGATTTTTGTGTGATTATTCTTCTTTCAGATTCTCTTCTATCGTAATTTTGTCTGCTTGTTTTCATTTATGCTAAAGAGGAAATTTAGAAGTAAAAGAGGAGAGTCAGCCTGTGAGGTGTAGTTATGTTGTTTTAGTCTTCCAGTTTCACCTTCTAGATTTCACCAGTCTTTCTCTCTGGCATTCTTCCATATCTCAGAGTGAATACAAACGTTGATTTCATATCCCGAAGAGAGATGCAGCATCGCTTATCCGACCGATTGCTCAGTACTTGTGGCAAGGATGAATGTTTAAAGCAAGCACAGAATGGTAAGTTGATCATGTGTTTTTCAACCACATTTATTGCGGCACGCACAAACCTAATCATTGCAATGTGTTGAGAAAAGCGGAGAGAGATATGACATCCATGGTCAGGACCATACTAAACTGCTAATGGCTGCCCATCCATCCATATTCGACTGGGAGGATAGAAGCGCGCCTAATTTTAATCCGAAGAACCATTACTCAATGTGACACTGCTACTCATCTTGCAGAGTGCGTATCCACCTTGTCATTCTCCTTCCTTTGTACTTCAAAGAATCCCTTCATGTAAGAGACACCAAAGATTCAAACTCTTGATAATACATGTTTGTTTAGATGTGACACAATTTCAATCGCTTGCGAATGAAGTGATTCTTGAAATCTTTGAATATTTCGATGCTTATGATATTCTCCACTCATTCGTTCGATTAAACTATCGTTTCGATGCACTACTTGCCAGCCTACAGTTTGATCTGAACTTTCAACACATCAGCGAATCCAAATGAAACTTTATCTGCGAACACTTTCCATCAACAGCGCAAATTCGTTCTCTGCGTCTGACTAACGCGACCTCCAGTTACGTTGACTTGTTCTTCAACCACTTTCCCGAGAACACATTGGTAAATCTTCGCTCTTTATCCTTGTTCAATATCCAACGAGAACAACCGACCAAAGTCGTGGTGCCGCACTTGTCCTGTATGACACAACTATCCTCACTAAAACTGGCTGTGGCATTCAGCGGCTCCCGGGACACGACGGCTCATTATGCTATTGAACAAGCCATTGCCGTTTGCCTAACGACAGTGAACAAGACTCTGACTCAACCTGATCTTAGAAACAACCAAATGTCCGACAGAGGAGGTGAAGCACTAGCACAAGCACTGAAAGTAAACAACACTCTCACTCAACTTGATCTTGCAAGCAACGAAATATCCGATAGAGGAGGTGAAGCAGTAGCACAAGCACTGAAAGTAAACAACACTCTCACTCAACTTGATCTGGGATGGAACAAAATATCCGATAGAGGAGGTGAAGCACAAGCATTGAAAGTAAACAACACTCTCACTCAACTTAATCTTCAATACAACAAAATATCCGCTAGAGGGGGTGAAGCACTAGCAGAAGCACTGAAAGTAAACAACACTCTCACTCAACTTAATCTTGCAAACAACGAAATATTCGTTAGAGGACGTGAAGTCATTTTTTTGAAGTCAGTTTTTTTAGTCATTTTTTTTTGTTGTTTATTTTGTTTCTGTGTTTTATTTGTCTTTTTGTTCTTTCTCATGTAAGACTAATTGACTATTAATAATAAACTATGCTCAGTCATATCTATAGTAGGATATATTTTTTAATGCGTCTTAACAATTAATTTTAATTAAAGCAAGAATTAGAGACTTCGTTTGACTGAAAACTTCGTTTGATCAGTAACTAACAAAGTGTTATGTTGTGGGATATGCTGTACAACTGCAGCGCTCGCACATTTCGTTTTTCTTTTTTAATGCCATGTTATAACCACAAACTTCCTGATCGTAATAGGATCAGTTCGGTGCCAGAGTCAATCTACCATCCTGTGAATGAGGCGGAATGGCTGAGTCCCAATTCTCTATGCGTCAAACACGACCGAACTGATCCTCACTACATCCTGAGAGCCACTAGCGGCAAAGCGATCTCACACCGAGGATACTCACATTTGTGAAGACGTCAATCTTTGAATGCACTTTCTTACTTCTGTGCATCTATATTTTGAGATCTTAGTCACTTCATCTAACTGAGTCTATACAGAGGAAGACATCTTAGAGTTGGTGCAGTACGTGGAAAAGATAACCAGCCCTGATTCCATAGACTGATTCAAGAAGAATAGTTCCACTCTACGACTATAGACAAGTAGGACAGATTTCTTTCTTTTAGCTTCCTCTCTTGTCCTCTTTAAAATGGCTGTGTACTCACCTTGTAAAATACTTCATCTTTTTAAAATAAATTAGTTCAAGTAGATCAGCCGCTATGGCTGAATCGTTATGTTGTTCGGCACATACTTCAAAGAGACCGTGTTCGAGCCTCGGCGCCACCCAGTCATAGAATAACCTTGGACAAGTTACTAATGGCTATTGTCTCGGATCACCCGTCCGATAGCACGCTGACATACACCGGTAGTTCGGTGCTAATATGTGGTTAGTGAGCGTGTATGGGGAGCCCAAGCAATTGGGCGAAAAGAACTCTGTGTCAGGCTGGCCTTCTGCCCAGAGCTACAGCTTGCTTGGTGACTAGTAGAAGAACGGGTGACCGTCTCCGAAGATCATCAGCTGTAGGGAAGATATCGGGCTTATCGAAACTGCTTCGGCAGCACCGTACACCGCAAGGTAGTCACAAGGCGGGGTATTCTTCCTTCTTCCAAGTAGATCAGAAAACAGACATAAACGCCAAAAACACTGCAAAGAAATAGTCTTTATACTACGCTAAAAAAAGGACGAAGTATATGTGTCTTCCCAGGTCAAAAAATCAGATCAAGATCTTACACAATCGTATAAAATCTTATGGAAAATCATAGAAACGGATTCATCTTATCAAATGTTATAAAAATCATACAAGAATCTTATGAAATCTTACTATAAGATCTTACATCAAAAATCAGTTTCTGTGTTTCTTACAGAATCTTACGAAATCAGACGAAATCGTACAAGAATCTTATAAGATCTTACAGCAAGATTCTTTGACCTGAGTTGTCATATAACAGTCACTTTTTTCGAAAACACTGTTATATTGAATATACATGTGCTCAGTTCGTTATATTCATCATGTCGAAAAATAATGCTTAACTTCAAGAAACTATAGCATATAAGACAAAAAAGATTACGTATCACATTAGCCAGGAATGTGACTTTCTTGAGCACAAAGTCATGTGCTTGAGAAAAAACTTCACTAGTACAGATCTTGCTCCTTTAACATTTGACTTAGATACTTAAAACCGTAACACTAATGCTCATTACAGAAAAGTTCTTTACTACAACAGCAACGAAATGCAACCCATCAGCAAAATTCATCGTAAAAATGGCATGGGAATTCATCTCATTTATTTTTATCACATTCGTAACAAAAGCCAGGATTCAAAAAACAACTACAGCTTCGATATAACAGCAGAAAATAACAGTTCTTTTGTCCGTTTTGTTATAACGGTATAGTTTTAAAAATGCGTTCTCATTGATCGTTTCATCAAGCAACAAAAGAATATTAAGTGATAGATGGCGCCTTGTCGTTTCTATCAGCTTTCATTATATCTGTTTAAGCGCTTCATCTCCTATTTCTATCAAATATGCATTATATGCAATTTAGTCATTTAAAAATGTAACTGTAATAAAAAAAAAGTTACTATATCGGTCGCCATATTGGCCTCTTCCACATTTTTTCTACTGGCAGCTAGCTATTTGCATCTGCTGCTTACAAGCTATAAATTATCATACGTTACACTACACAAAAGACATTTGTTTCTTACTAGCCAATCATAACATACAAACTATAACGTTGCTGTGGATACAGATACAATACTGATCACAGTTCAGCGCCGACAAAGTGCCCTCACAATATCCTCCTATACTACTATTCCTGTTTTTTGCACAGCTGAGCGCTAATATTCTCCTATTGTGCTATTTCCCTATTCTCTTATTCTCCTCTAATCCATAGGCGACGGAGCGCCTCGAATCCAGGTGAGGCTCATAGTCTTTTCTTATCTCCGGCGAAGTTCGACGATTAAACTTTTATCCAAGTGACACAGCAAGTCCTTTTTCAACTTCAACCGACCAATAGAATAAAGGAATAAAAAACAGATATGATTAAAAAGCACCAAAGAAGAGTTTTCTCTGTTCGTTTTTGGATGCAAAAATAGAACAAATACTGTTCAAATCCATGGGATCCGTCTTGCCCTTGTAAATATGAGTGAGAAACGCACTATTCAAACGGGTTTGCGTCATTGTCGATCGAAAACATATCTTCATGCGGTTCAACGCCGAAAATGATCACTCCGCCGTAGCTGTGGTCACAGACACCGTTAGATACAGATGCAAAAGCCGATTAAATTGGTGAAACATTGTTTTTCCGATAGACTGCTCGTTCATGATATCGATGATTGTCGAAATCTTTGTTATTTTCACGATTCCCATCTGTTTGTCGTGAATCACTGTTCGACAGAAATCCTATCATAATGAATGCATAATTAATGCATGATTAATGGGTTCAAGTGTAGGATTTTTTCTCCCTTAGAATAGTAGAATAGTAGGACAAGCGATAATTTCTAGTCTAGAAAATTCGCCCAGTCCTTGTTCCTTTCTGTTTTCCACATAGTTCCATCACATCTAACAATCGTTTCATGGAGATTTAAGCCAATGTTTGGCTAGGATTAAACTAACACTGAGTGCTAGCTTAATCCTAGCCAAACATTGCCTTATGTCTTAATGGCGCAAACATAGATGATGTTTGTGCATCTATGGGAAAAATCTAGATATAATTCGTCTGTAAACGGGCGGTACACGACTAGTTGCCAGCTAGATTACTAGTTGAAAAAGGGACTTTTAACTAGATGTGTCTGCATCAGAGATGTCGGAAAATGCTTTTTTTCCAACCCATGGGTCACCCATAACCCAGCTAGTCCATCTGTGGGTGGGTTCCGGTTGGGTTTGATTTTTTTTCCAATCGATGGGTCGTACGGTTGGGTTGAGTAACGCGAACCCACCCATTGGGTTAAACCCTACGTTTATTCGCCCTCAACTTTCTTCTATATACTGGCACATATGCAAGTGTAAATCTATCTATGTAAGGTTTGTCCATAAATATGAGATCGTTGTGTAGAATATAAGATAAAAAAATATATATTTTTTATTTTCATATGGAGAAAAAGAAAATGTTCACGTTGGTTATGAGATAAAATAAGAACACGATTAATTACTAACAAAGAATAGAATACATAATATATAGAAGTTAGATTAGTTGAACCACTATATACTAATAAATACTAATAAAAGACATAAAAGAATCTAGGCTCCGACAACAAACGACAATAAACGAAGTGATGATATCAACTTCGCCGACGACGAAACGAGAAAAATAGAAAAGAGACGAAGACTAGAGAGAGAAATAAAAGACGAAATAAGCTATATGCATGTATGCTACACTTAATCACTAGATCGACCAATAAATATTAAGGTACTGATGAATCGTAGATGTCATATCATAACGAAATCTTCATCCAACAAACTCTTTTATAACGATTTTTTGGAAATATAGATGGTGATAATGGGTTACCCATGGGTGATCCGACAAAAGTTGCCTTCGGATCTGTGTGGGTGGATCAGGGTTGAGATCGTTCAAACAGTCAACCCAACCCGCCAGGGTTGGGTTAAGGGTAACCCATGGATGCTCCAACTCAAGGGTACCCATACCGTAACCCACCCATCCGACATCTCTGGTCTGCATGTGCAACTAGTGATAGTTAAATCAATAGTTGCAACTAGAAGAAATCTAGGAATCGCCCGATTACTAGGTTTCCATTGTTTACTCAATAATTGCTGTCGAGTAAAAATCTAGTAATCTAGATGAATCGGGAGATTCTACATTTCTTTTGACGCTTAGGCCTGCGGTAGCGAGTTATCGGCGTATCTAAGTGTGACGTTTTTGACATAGTAACTCTCTTTTTTAAAAACTATACTTGCAAGAGGGCTAGTTCTGGCGTCATTTTTGGCAGATCAGTCTGCTGTGTTTGTGTTGTAGAAATTAGAAAATTTGACTTGAATCTCGGGCTTACAGATCAAATTTTTGGCTTTTGGACGCTCAGAAGATGCGTTTTAAAAACGTGACGCTGTGACACACTTTTTTCTCGGTGCATTTTCTGGCACTCAGCGTCCTTAAAAAAGCTTTTTTATATACTTGCCGGACATCTGAGCATATTCTAGCGATTTATGCAAAAACTGGAGTTGGAAACTTTTTCATCTGAATCTTCGAAAGCTCTGGAAAGCGTAGGTTTGGATCTTAAACTCGACTTTCAAAACAAAATGAGCCATTTTGTAGAGAATTTAATTCTCTGTCGAATGGTGTAGTTTTTAATTTGTTTAAAAAAACTTTCAAGCTCGAAAAAGCGAAGTTAAATCTCTTAACCGGCCTGCTTTTTTGCAGGTTTTCACTATGCCGGTTTTTCACCGGTCTAGGAAATTTTTGAAATCCGACCGGCTTTTCTGGATGATCGAAGCACCTTAATTTAAGGGTGCTTCGATCATCCAGAAAAGGTAAGAAAAGCCCCCTCCCTCTTTTGGGATATTCCGTAGAAATGCTGTGAAATAAAAACTAAAAGTCGCTAGGACTTTGTATTTTCAGAACTGATTGGAAACTCAATGGAGCACTTTTTCGTTTTTGTTTCAAGTTTTCAATGAACTTAAAAAAAAATGAATTAATTACATACTTGATGTGGTTGTTGTTGCGACCGTTGCGCTGCCCGTGGTGAAATTTTGTGGTGGACATAGCTGTGTAGAAGCAAATGCTAATGAATAACAGACGGGCTGTTGACATCGTGTATTATTAACAAAAATTGTATTTGGTATTGAACATGTAATATTATCTAAATTACATCTTATAACATTCGAGCATGCTAGATCCGCCAGAGCACAGATTCCCGTTGTTGCATTGCTCGTCAGTGCAAAACATTCACAATCCAAATTTGAAGAACATAATGATTTACCACCAACACTACGGCTATCACAGAAACAGTTCATTAGAAGACAATAGTGAATAGAGCAACATCCACTGTACTTACAAAACCCACAGAAAAAGAGTTAACACACTCTTCATGATCAGCCTCATCATCAAACTTTAGCTTGTTTTTAGCCGTTTTGTTAAGATGTCTCTGTCTTTCAAAAATGAAAATTCAAAATAAAGTTGGTATATTCTATATGAAGTAATATTTAGAATAATATATAATATTTAGTAATAATATAATATTTAGTGTTCTGCTTTAAAAATAATCGATATATTTTTGTTTTATCATTTCACATAGCTACTAAGAGTTTCTTTCTTCTATTGAGCATACTCGAGAAATTTTCTTTTCGTCAAATTATTTACTTGAATGCATAAGTATATAAGTTAGTTAACTAACCTTAGGGTTTAATTGTTCAAGTTTCACTTGTAATCCTGATTACTTTTTTGTTTTGAATACTTGTTGGGAATCGTTGAATAAAAGTAGAGAGTAAAACTCTATGATGTCGAGCAGCCACAAATGGAAGAGTATGTTGAATATTTTAGATGATTTACTATTATCAACCACAAAAGCATCAGTCATTCCATACAAATGGACAGAAGATGTACTAGCTGAATTCATTACTACTCTGCACACAAAAAAAGACGACCATGCAAGTATTACGTAAGGAACCTTAGAGGGAGAGTGAGTTTATTAAGAAAGTAAATCTAATTTAACTTCGATTTAGTCTGAACGACTAGAAAAACTACGCTATTCACAAGTTTATTCAATAACAAACGAAAGCCGAAAAGCGCATAAACTTAACCACTACCGTCCCAGGTCGATGATTACGATCGTCGTAAACGACCGTAAACTAGAATTTACGATGTCAGATACTGCAGTTTACGATGACGTATACTGCAGTATACGTCAAAATACGCCACCGTTTACGA